TCGTCTTTTTATCTATAATGAATCGCTCTCTTAGTTGTTTCAGAATTTTTAAGATTTTGAAATATTTGCATATACAGGTGTCTTAGAGATGGGACCCATGTCTAAATATGAAATTCATTTATGTTTCATATATATCTTGTACACTTAGCCTGAAGGTAATTTTATGCACAATATTTTTAATAATTGTTTACATGAAACAAAGTTTGTGTACATTGAACCATCAAAAAGCAAAGGTGTCACTATTTCTGCCACCATTTTGGACAATTTTGTATTTTGGAATATTTCATATTTCGGATAAGGGAGACTTAAGCAGTATTCATATATGAATACTTGATATTTATTGGAGCACTGTTTCCAATGCATCAGAAAACAAAGGAACAGTAAATTATACAATAAACCCATTAAAGATAATAAATGGTATGATTAGCATGAGGTCCAATTAAAATAGCTAATAATAATAATAATAATAATAATAATAATAATAATAATAATATCCCACCCCTTTGCAGATGCAATTGGGGCGGCTTACAATAATAAAACATCACAAATATATAATCCCAAAAACTCTCCCACCCCTTAGAATAGTATTAAACATCATAAAATTAAAACAGTAACAAACAACAAACACTCAATTATATTATTAACAAAATTATAAAAGCAAAGCAAACAGACAATAGCAGATATGGCAGGAATAGGGGAAGGGCAAAACTCGCTCCTCAGGCTGGGAAGACTAATCAGGAAAGGCCTGCTGGAAGAGATCCGTCTTCACAGCTTTTTTAAAGCTGTTTAGATTGATAATATGATGGATCTCGTCCGGCAGGCTGTTCCATAGTCTGGGAGCAGTTGCTAAAAAGGTCTCTGGGAGCTTGCAGACAGCCTATTTTAATAGGCTGGAGCAAATTCCTCCCAGATGACCTGAGTGTGCGGGGCGGATTGTATGGAAAGAGGCAGTCCCAAAGATAGGTTGGACCCAAGCCATGTAGAGCTTTAAAGGTGATGACCAGCATCTTGTACTGAGCCTGGAAACTAATCGGCAGCTAGTGTAGTGATTTTAGAACTGGTGTTATGTGGTTTCTCCTAGATCAGGGGTAGGCAACCTTTCTCCTTTAAGGGCCAAAGGACTTCAGCTCCCAGAAGCCTCAGCCATGTTGGTCAATAGTCCCATGTTGGCCAATAGCTCCTGGGATTCTGGGAGCTGAAGTCCCTCGGCCCAAAGGGGAAAGGTTGCCTACCCCTGTCCTAGATGGACCAGAGACCAGCCTGGCTGCCATGGTCTGTACAAGTTGGAGTTTCCGGACTTAGCACGAGGGTAGCCCCATGTACAGCGCATTACAGAAATCAAGACAAGAGGTAACCAGCACATATACTACAGTTTCAAGATCCCTTACTTCCAGGAAAGGGCGCAGCTGGCATATCAGCCAAAGCTGATAACAGGCACTCCTGACCGTCGCATTTACCTGATTAGTCATCTGGAACGACGGATCCAGGCGCACCCCCAAACTGTGAACACAGTCCTTAGCGGAGAGTGTAACCCCGTCCAGGACTGGAGGTTGTATTCCAATACCTAGTTTTGGGTGTGCTACTGTTAGTACTTCCGTTTTATCTGGATTCAATCTCAATCTGTTTTTCCTCATCCATCCCATTACTGCCTTAAGACATTCATTAAGAGGAGAGACGCCATCTGAAGACATAGCTGACGCCCGAGACATAGCGAAGTATATTTGGGTGTCATCAGCATACTGATAACACTCCACTCCATGGCTCTGGATGATCTGTCCCAGTGGCTTCATATATATATTGAACAACATAGTGGACAGGATGGTGTCTTGAGGGACGCCACAGTTAAGCACCTTCCTGGTGGAGCGACTGTCCCCTAGCAACACCCTCTGGAATCTGCCCGAGAGGAAGGAACGGAACCACTGCAATGCAATGCCTCCGATTCCTAACCTTCTCAGGTGATCCAAGAGGATGTTGTGATCTATTGTGTCAAAAGCCACTGAGAGGTCTAAGAGCACCAGCAGGGTCACACTACCCCTGTCAATGCTCAGACGCAGGTCATCAGGCAAGGCAACCATGGCAGTCTCAACTCCAAATCCCATCCTAAAGCCAGTTTGAAATGGGTCTAGATAATCGGTTTCTTCCAAGACAGCTTGGAGTTGAAGAGCAACCACCCTCTCAATCACTTTGCTTTAAAAAGGTAATAATGAGACCGGCCTATAGTTGTTCATATCCAGGGGGTCCAGGGAAGGCTTTTTCAGAAGCGGTCTAACTGCCGCTTCCTTCAAATATGGTGGAATGTGGCCTTCCATGAGGGATGCATTGATGATGTCCCGAAGGAACAGCCTCAATGCATCCCCCTCCCCGGACGGCCAGCCATGACGGACAAAGAACGAGGGGGCAGGTCGTCTTCCTCACACTACCAAGAAGCTTTTCCACATCATCAGTACTCACAGATTGAAATCGATCCAGTATAATTTCATTAATGGAGCTATTAACACAACAAAGTAAATCTATAGTATCTTTTCAATGCTATTGTTATGTCTTTCAGTCAGCAAATAAAAATGAATTCCATTCTGGTTGGAGAGAGTTTGCAATGGAGCAGAGTCAGATTAGGTGACGGTTCTGTGATACTGTTAAAAGCTGTATGGTTAGCATTGCAGATTGCAGTGGTTTGGGGGGGAGGGAAGCAGGTTGCTTGATAGGTATTTCTGAGAAGCAGGTGCAAGCCTCACAGGATAGAGTTACACTCCTCTACACTCTGGAAAGGTTCCCTGGTAATTTGATATTTCCTTTGGTTTTGTTCAAGTACAGAGCTCCCCTGGTAAATGACAAAAAGTTGTCTGGCACTTCATAGCAAGGGTAGCGTACCTCTGGCTTTCAGCTCCTTGTAGCCTACATCAGACCAGCCAATGGTAAAGGATTATGGGAATTGCAATCCAAGCCATCAGGAGGGTCAGAGGTTCCCCACACCTATTGTATAGGTTTTAAGTTTAACCCTTGGGTTTATGTAATATTTTTATAGCAGGGTTGCATGATCATTTAATCCGCAAGGGTCACATTTGATGTCAGCTGTCAGGTCAAGGGCTACATAGGAATAGAGAGGAAGAGGGAGAGAAACTGATTCAGTCCACGGTATGTGAGGATGTGAAAGTTTAAATCTCACCCTGTTTGCTGGGATCTTCTTATTGCTTATATGAGTCTAGAGAGAATAGTCTGATACCCTCTTCCTTTTTCCAGTTATCTCAATTGAGTCTGTAGTTTCCTTACTGGGAGAAAGCCATTTTGGAAGCCACAGAACAACATTTTCCTTTTTATGGGGAAAAGATGGGTGTGGTGTCTCCAGTTTTGAAGGCCACACAAGAAACAGCTACAAATTTATCCCTGGGGTTTCTATTTTGGGTGGAAGGAGTGATTTCCTTTCTTTTCTCCCCCTTTGTGGGTATTTTGACAATTTTTCTGAGAACAAAATTGATGCATCCCAAGGCAAGAAAGATGCACGATTTGAAAAGAGTGGATGCACAGCTAGAAAGTTGTGCTGACTGAAAAACAACAGAAGCTGTTTCTATTTTCTGCCCAAGTTGCACCAAGGTCAAAGAAAGCACAGTGGGATTGGGTGGATGACAGACGTGCAACATGAAGTGGCAGAAATCGAAAAGCTTGGACATCTGCTATTTCCCAGCACTACATCTTCCCACATCCCATGTACTTTACAATAACTGCAATATTCCTGTCCCCAAGCAGGAGAACTTGTATTAGAGAGTGAAAATGTTCTTACAGTTTGAATTTCTCCAAGGTTGCAGGTCACTTCTAATCATGTTTATTAGTAGTGGCCTCTGAAGTTTTAGGACTTTATCACACAACTCCCATTCTTGCCACGATTGCATTAATGAAAGGAAGTGTATACATACCAGTTTGGGAGCACTCCCTTCTGCATAATCCCTTCAATAGTGCTACTGTGCTGTTGCTAGTGCCTTGGGCTCTCTTCTACCTTTGTCCTTAACCCTGCTTCCCTGCCTTGTGCCCTACCCAGCATGTCTTTCATTTGTATGTGTGTTTTGTTTGTTTTTTAACACATTTCCAAATGCTAATGTGGTTTAACAAAAAAAA